GGATCAGTTTCTTCAAAGAGACGTGGTTATGCGACATCTTAAAGGATTGTTATATGAGGACACAAATGACTAGGTCTGAAGTTTAAATCTCCTAAAAGAGATATGTGTATGTAGAGCAGTTACCTGGGCACACACACACATAAAGGCTCGCAGAAAGATGACCTTGTAAGAGAGAAAGCACAGTACCGAGATGGGTGGGAGTGAGAACGTGGAGGACAGGCAGAGCCAGGGCCATCGGACGCTGACCGTGGGCCAGGCTGGGATGGAGCTGTCACAGCCTGGCTCTGCTCTAAGTGGGGTTTCTGTGAAGCAGAGCAGGTGGTTATGGATCCCTGGCTTACCCAGGTGAGGATTCCGCATGTATTTTTTATACCCGTCCAAACTCTGGTGAAAGAGAGAAACAGCCACACGGGTGCACTGTGGCCACTGAGGAGTGAACCAGGGGATGGAGTATCTCTCTTCTCTGTCGCTCCGTCTCTCTATAACTCTGTCTTTCAAATACAAGTAAAATAAATCTCATTTTAAAAATCTTGCTTTAAAATAGAAGATCTAATTTTTTTTTTCCAGGGAGGAATATCTGGCAAAATGGCCAACAGTGAAGGTGATCATGATGGACAAGGCCGATTTTTCAGTCTCCCTTGTCAGGTAGGAGTGGCCAATGCAGTCATTTCTGTTCCAAGAGATCTTAGCAGGACCACTGGGAGAACTTGGTAAGAGGGAGACGTCACGGCATCTGAAGCAGAGGGAGCAATCCTGTGGATTGACGACAGCAAGCAGAGGATGTCAGGGAGGTCTGGAGGGACAGGTGCCCTTAATGACTTCATTGTCACCTATAAGGAAGACTGAGAGAGGCAGCTGCTGGCCAGCAAAATAACACCTACTGTTCAAGCTTCTGCTGGTGGGACTTTCTGCTATTTACATCCGTGTTGCTAAGTGATATTAATATGCTAAAATAGAAATGAGCGCTCTGGGTAAGCCATCCCCAAGACATAACCACCATTAAACACTTAACATCTGGAATGTATTTTTTCAAAGCGTGTGTATATATGAATACATCAATCACAAAAGAATCTACAATCAAAAGGCTCATATAGTCAACGCCTTTTGATATACAACCTATTTTTTCCACTTAAAAATACCACACTATATTTTTTTATGTCAGTACAACCTCTTTTTTTTTTTAATGACTCAATCTTCTGTTGCCAGACATTTAGGCTATATCCAATATTTTCTCATTATAAGCAGTGCCGAAATAATTACCCTTGAACATACATCTGTGTGCACTTGTTTGCTTTGGATAAATTATCGTACATGGACAAAGGGTATGCACCTATTAAATGTTGGCACATCTATCTACGAAATGCTTATTGAATGGTCTAGTATGTGTGCACATTTATGCTTGATGAACCAAAGATACATAGTTGGGTGGTCCTGGGTGGAAGACTGACAGGTGAACGGGTAAATGAAGAACAGAAAGTTTCAAATTGTGATGAATGACAAGCAGGAGATGCTCTCACACCATCTGGCAACATTAGGGACCTCCTTGACAGATGACAGGTGAAGACTTCCAAGGAGTAATATCTAAGCAGAGATTCAAGGATGAGAGGTGTCACCCTTGGCAAGGCAATGTCAAACGCAGTCACCCAAGCAGGAAACAGCTTGGGTAGCTCAAGACCTAAAAGCCAGCAGGTAGAGTGAGAACCGCTGAGAGGAGAACGGGCAGGTAAGCTCCAGAATGAACGAGACCCTGCAGGTTGGGCTGCAGCATTCAGATTTTATCTCTATTTCTAAAGTCACTGGAGGGCTTTAAACAAGGGAGTAAGGTCTGTATTTTTATGATTATCATGGTTATGTTTAGAATGATCGCTTTGGCTGCCATTTTCCTCGTTTGGATGGGAACAAAACTGGGGACTAGTTAGAAGGTTAGGTTGAGGCTAGGCTAGAGAGTGCAGTCTGGAATAAGGCATATAAATGTGTATATTCTATTTACACAGACATGTGCAGATTGGTCAATGTTGATAAAAGGCAAGCATTTTAAATGAACTTCAATATGATAAAAGTGTGTATTTTTACACTAGTAACCCACAGTTTTTCTCATTTAAAGTTTTTACATTATATTTTAGTATGCATTACGGCAATTTCTTCTCATTACTCCATATCAAAAATTTGCTGATTGTAAGTTTTCCATGTTTCATACCATCCCATCCACCAAAACATATTGGTTCTTTGATCTGAATATTTCACTGAATTTATGAACAATCCTGCTGAGGGGTTTGTCTTATTTTCTTGTTAATTTGTATCATAGGGCCTTCCAAAAGGTTTTATTGTTTTCTTTCTATGGACTCTGCCATGTCTTGTTAAACTTATGTCTAGTAGGGCCAGTCAGTCTCTTTGTTAAAAGGAGAATACTTATTTTTGCATTATACTTCCAAATGGAGATTAGTGGTATTTAGTACTATATCTGGGGGAACCCATGAATAGTTTTTCCTTCCTCTTGGATTTGGAATCATTTGTGCCATTGATACAGGAAAGATACAAAAACTAATGTTTCTGAGCAAATGGAATTAAAAGATTATTTTATCGTAGACAGTGTTGGAAATCCATGCATCTTTCCCACAATACACATTTTGCATGAACTTTTTGAAGACCACTTGTACTTAGCTATGTTATTAATAAAGCTGCCTGGGAGACGTAACCTTTGATCTGTGGCTAAGTTAACTTGCTCTTCTGGTACCTCTGCCCTCACTGGGCACATCTCTGTATTTGTAGGCAGTGTGGGGCAACACTCCCTCTGCCTCAGAAACAGGATGAGTTTCCACATAGCACATGAAAATATCTGCTCTCTGAAGTCAGCCAAACTCACAAAGAGACTACGTCCGACTCCTAAACTCACTGAACTCTTCTTGCAAACTCACTCAGCCTTTCCTTTGGGCAAAGAGGCCAGGAGTTCGTGCTAACTAAAGTTCCTTTATTTGGAAATGAAGCCTTTAGCATTTCCCTTAGCACTTAGGGAAACCTTATCAAAGTCTCGATATTTCACTGATTCTCTTGAACACCTAAATCTTAGGCAAATAATGACAATTGAGTCTCTTTCTGTCCAATATTTATATTTTCAATTTATTTTTTCTTATCTTATTGCACTGTCTGTAGCTTGTAGCAACTACAGCTACAAGCTATAATTATAAATATATGCATTTTAATGTAATTACATGTGCAGTTGTTTTGCTCTGACTTAAAACAAGAATGCCTTTAACATTTCAGCATTAAAATATGTCTGTTGGTGACTTCTAATACATAAATTTTGCCATTGTATATTGACCAATTACATTCAAAGTATCTATCCTGTTGACTTTCTGATTTATTTTGCCTTTAACAATGCAATCCATTTACAGAGTCGCTTGCGTTGCTATCACCACACTTCCGGAGTAGATTTTTTTCAGAGCAGGTTTTGACTTGTTTTATGACAAGCTGGCTTCAAACTGGCTAAACTTTTACTTTGCCATTTCACAATTTTATTTAGCCAGTTGGCCTGTCACAGAGATTCATCCACAGAGATTAACCAGTGAACTCTCATAAAGTGGTCCCGGCCCACAAGACGTTAGGAAATGCCAGATTAAACCAACCAAACAGGTTTCTTTGCTGGCGGATTTATCCGAAACCACAACACATTGACACTTATCTCCTCTTAAAGGTATTCTAGAACTGGTATGCAGCATGGGCATCTCAAGTTGTGTGACCCTGCAAGTCTTTTTCTTTTTTTCCTTTCCCCTCCCGCCCTACCGCCTCCCAAAACACACGCTAAATTTCCCAGAGACCATGTTCTATAGTCAGATGCAGTTCTCCCACTGAGCATCATTTCTGTTGGGTATTGCTGCCAAGGCTATGTTGAGTTTGGGAAATAAGATGGAAAGTTGTCTCCACGCCCCGCCCTCTCTGTTTTGCTGGGTAACAGTTTAAGGACCAGGGAGATCACATGAGCCCCCCGCCCCCACGCCAGCGTTATATTGATGGAACCTGCCAGGACACCATCAGAACGGGTGGAATTTGGGATGCTAGGAGGAACGCACCCCTTGCGGTGGAGTTTCCAACTTCTCTCCTCAGAGGCACCCTTTCCTTTAGGCTCAAAGAGCTGATTTGGAAGGAAAAAAAAAAACTGTCAAGTGTGATCTTGGAGAGCCTAACGCTGATGGCAGCCCCCCCGCGGATACCAAAGCACCAGCTTCCTGGCCTTTTAAAATGGCACCTTCTCGTCTGGTGTTGTGTCTGCTCCTGCCTTTCCTGTCAGCCCCTCTTGACCGAGGACCAAGCTCTGGGACGCTCTCCTGGCCCAGCTTCAACTATCCCAGATACTGCACTGTAGGGCCCTGCTTCAACCTTTTCTTCTAGAAGCTTCCCTGAGGCTAAGCCCCATACATTCTGCCTCGGGGGTAAATCCGGTGAGCCTCAGGGGGTCCACTGGAATCTGCTAAAGGGAGCATGTGTCCCTATAAGGACTCGCTCAGCCTGAGGACCTAGGGATTTCCAGAACTGGCGGCCACTCCCGACAACCGTACTCGGACCGCGAGGCCTTGGCGAGCTCCCCGGGCCAAGCGTGACAGGAAAGGCCACCTTGGTGAGGAGCGGAGAGGAGGAAGACCCACGCCCCGAGCACCAGAGGCCTGAGGCGGCTCCTGTCTGGGGTTGGGCAGGGGTCGCCCGTGGGCTCCGTGAGGCCAGGTCGGCGCGTCGGGCCCTCTGGGGAGTGGACCGGCCGAGGCAGCGGAGCGGGTTCGGGACCCAGGGCTCCCGCTCCCTCCTCCCGCCCAACCAGCCTCGGGCGCCGCCCCCGGAGCCAGCGCCACCGCCGGGGGCCCGGAGCCGGCCGCCGCGGCCCGCGGAGGGAGCTGCCGCCGTTGTTGCCGCTGCTGTTGCTGGAGCCGCCGCCGCCAGGCCGCGCCCCGCCCCTCCAGCCGCCGCCGCCGTCGCCGCCGCTCCCCGCCAGGCTCGCGCTCGAGCTGCGGCGCCGGCTCCAGCCGACTGGGCCCCGGGCCCGTCCCCTCCCGCGCCGCCCGGGCGATGAGAAGCTGCTTCTGCGTGAGACGGAGCCGGGACCCGCCGCCGCCACTGCCGCCGCCGCAGCCGCCCCAGCGGGGAACAGTTAAGTGAGGCCCGGGCGCCGCCGCAGCTCGGCCGAGCCGGCCCTGCTGCCCGAAGGGCGGGCGGTCGGATGCGGGCCCCGGGCCGAGGGGCGGGCGGACGGGAGGAGCCGGGCCGCGCCGAGGCCTGCGGGCTCCATGCCCGGCCCCGTGGCTGGGCAGGCCCGGGCGGCCTCTGTCGGGCCCGGTGCGCGCCGCGGATTCCCGTCCCCGGCTCGGCCTTGCTGCGGGGGGGAACGGGAAGACCGAGTGCTGGCAGCGCCCCCAGGGCCGGGCAGAGGAGGGGCCCCCAGAGCCTCCCGCGCCCTGGGAGAGGCGAGGCGGCTCACCTGTGCCGCGGCCACCTGGCTGCAGGCTGCGGACAGTCATTGAGCCAGCTTGGCTTGGGGGCCCCGGGGTCTGTGCTCACGTGGGGCGCAGACCGGAGTGCACCTGACCCTCGGGCATCCTTGGGGGACAGAGCGGAGGGGACCCTCAAACCCTGGGGGCACCTGTCTGGGAGGTGGTATAGCCTGGCCGGGTGCCCATACAGGACGGATGGCTGGGAATGGGATGAACGTCCTAGAATGACTGCAGACAGAATGAGGTGCAAGATCAGCACCGGGAGATAGCCAATCCCAGGATGGGCACAGGTGAACAAGGAAGACCCGTGAGCATCCTTGTTCTTTTGTTACCAACACACAACTGTTTGTAAATTAACAGCCTTTCTCACCATCCAAGATGTTATTCTTCCGTCCCCAGTCCCTCAGCAGCCTGCTCAGATGCATAAACACCCCAGGAGGGCAACGGCCCCTTCTCTTGCTCCCTTCCCACACAGCTTTCCGCCACAAAAGCAGACAGCAGGCCAGCTCCATGTTAGGGGTTCTTTGTCTCTTGTGGTTCCTTCTCAGTGTAGCCTCATTGTGTGTTTCTCGACAGCTGGCTGCAGCTCATCTCATTTTAACTGGGTAATCTTATCAGCTGCACCACAAAAGCCTTACAACACTCAACCAGATAAGGCTTGTGGAAACCCCCAAGTCAGGGGTGAAACAAACAAACAAACATACAAAAACAAAAATTCAGTGTACCTGAGGGTTAGTTAAAGGAGCTGGTGACAACCTTTCTTCTTTGCTGGAAGTCGTGTGGGATCTTTGGGGACCCTGTGACATGCTCAGAATATGGAAATGGGGCCTTGGAGACCAGGGGCTGCTCCAGGACCCTTGTGCAGCATCCTTCCGCGGCCCCCCTCCCTTTTTTCTTGTCTCTCAGCTGTCAGGCCACAGCCCAGCTGCAGATCAAAGGCATTTCCCCTGCTCTGCAGGGTCACCATCCTGGGGATAAGCTTTCTCCCCTTCTGGCTGGAACCGCCACTACACCACGTGCAAGGCTTAGCGTTAGGCCTCAGCTTAAGGCTTGTCTTCCCTGCCTACTGTGTGTTCTTGGGCAAGTTAGGGAAGATTTTGTGTCTCCTCTGTCCAGGGAAGCGAATGACAGCGTCTCTTCTACATGACTTTCAGGAGAGGGGCATGAATGATTGCAATGAAAGGTCGGTTCCGTGCCTGGCATGTGACAAATGGTCAGTAAACACTAAGGTGTTTAGTAAGGGCCTTCAGCTGATTGATCAGAAGAGCTTTTTGTTAATTTCTTTTTTTTATATAGATTTATTTTTATTATGTTTTATTGGAAAGGCGGATATACAGAGAGGAGAGACAGAGAGGAAGATCTTCCGTCCGATGATTCACTCCCCAAGTGAGCGCAACGGCCGACGCCATGCCGGTCCAAAGCCAGGAGCCTCTTCTGGGTCTCCCACACGGGTGCAGGGTCCCAAAGCTTTGGGCCGTCCTCGACTGCTTTCCCGGGCCACAGGCAGAGAGCTGGAAGGGAAGCGGGGCTGCCGGGATTAGAACCGTTGCCCATATGGGATTCCAGGCGTGCAAGGCGAGGACCTTAACCACTTGCGCCACCGCGCCGGGCCCCTCTTTTTGTTAATTTCTAATGTTTCCCCCCACCCCCCCTTTAAAATATTTGTTTATTTGAAAGGCAGAATCCAGATAGAGACAGGACTCACATTACTGATTCATTCTCAGACTGCTGTGATAGCCAGGACTAGGCCAAATCAAAACCAGGAGCCCTTCTGAGTTTGCTACCTAGGCGTAGTGCCCGAGCACTTGTACCATCTTCTGCTGCTTTTCCAGGCACATCAGCAGGGAGCTGGGTTGGAAGTGGAGCAGCCAAGTCTTGAACTGGCACCCGCAAGGGCTGCTGGCATCACAGGCAATGGCTTTATCTGCTGTGCCACAGTGCCAACCCTACCATCTTTTAAAAACAATTACTTGAAAAGCAGAGTTGGAGGGCAGAGACAGAGGCATCATCCATGCACTGGTTCATTCTCCCAGTGGCTGCAGCTGCTGAGCCTCTGCCAGGCCAAAGCCAGGAGTCGTGGACTCTGTTCAGGCTTCCCACAGAGCTGACAGGGTGCAGGCACTTGGACCTTCCTCTGCTGCATTAGCAGAATTGGACTGGAAGCTGAGCAAATGGGATGCTGGCATTGCAGGTACTGCCTTAACCCACTGTTCCACAATCTTAGCCCCTGATGCCTTTCTGTTCGTTCTTTCTATTGAGCCAAGTAGGCAGTGATGATATGGTAGGGCATAGATTCAAGGTCTTGGTCATGAATCTCAGGCTACCTCACAGATCCCAGGTAACCCTAGGCTAGTCATGGGACCATTCTGAATGCTCATGTCCTTAACGGTGACAGTAACAAATGAAAATAAGCCTACAGTAGCAAGTTAAGCTAGCCTCATGCAAGGACAGTCTATTGGAAAGCCTAGGTGAGCATGTGTGTGACAGTAGTTGGCCCTGTGCAGGTTGGGGACCCCCACAGCATGAAACTTAGCATGGGATCCAGTACCCAATGGTAGATTCTGAATGTGTGGGCCCATCATTCATACAGTTTGTTGAGGCATGGATTGCTGTTAAGAAAAAGTATATTCTTTTGTACTTAATATGTGTTGAACACATGTGAGCACGTTGCTGGATGTCCTCTCAGGGCCTTGGCAGGGGTGAGGGAGGGCCTGAAGCTAAGCTGTACCAGGGAATCCCAGCACCTTCGCCTTAGCGGGTCAGAAGCAGTTCCGTGCCACATGCTGGGAGGGCGCCGTCTTTGCCACGCTGCAAAGTATGGACAGCCTTGGGAAATGTCAGAGGTGCTGTTATGATGATGGAGGAAGCAAATGAGTACATGGCTGCTGGTGGCTGGGCTGAGGAGGCTGTGTGTAGTCGGCTGCGGGTGAGTGAGCAGGGCCTCCCCTGCAACCAGCTTGTGGGAGGGGTGGCCTGGGTTCCTGGGGTCGGGGGCTCCCCCTGCCAGGCTGTTCTCTGGCCTGCATCTCACTAGTCCCCGGGGCTCTCCTTGGCCTTGCCTGTACCGGGCTGCCCTTGGGAATTGTGGTTTTCCCCACGTTGTCTGCGCTCTGTGCACCAGCCTTGCCTGAGTCGGGTCTGTTGGCAGCTGCCCCTGCGGGGTGTGTGTGACATTGCCTCCCTCGCTGGGGACATCCTGTGGACATGTGTTGGGCTGACTTGACATGCTTCTGGCAGGATGCTGCACTTGTCCGGGCAGAAATGTGAGAGGCCCATGGGCCTGGAGCCCACGGACAGCACGCAGGAGCTCTGTGGCTCCTACGTCCCTGGGGATCGGAGGGGCATCCTGTTGGGCTGTGGCTGGGCTCAGCAGAAGTCTGTTCTGTCTTTTGTAGTTACAGGTGCAGACATCTCTTTCACACACACACATACACACGGATTGTTTTTCAAAGACACTGATCAGCAGAGAAAAAGGTTCAGCACAGTATCTCCTGACCTTTTAGAAAAGAGACAGAAATGAGTTCTCTTTTTAAAAAATGTTTTGCTTGCTTTTGATTTTGTTTTTAAAATATTCATTTATTTTTATTGCAAAGTCAGATACACAGAGAGGAGGAGAGAGAGAGAGAGAAAGATCTTCTGTCCACTGATTCCTTCCCCATGTGGCAACAATGGCTGGAGCTGAGCCAGTTTGAAGCTAGGAGACTGGAGTCTCTTCCAGGTCTCCCACACAGGTGCAGGGGCTGCCGGGATTAGAACTGGCACTCATATGGGATCCCAATACATGCAAGGCAAAGACTTTAGCCACTAGGTTACCATGTTGGGCTCAGAAATGAGTTTTTAAAGTTAACTCTGGCCCGGCGTGGTGGCCTAGTGGCTGGGGTCCTCACCTTGAGTGCGCCGGGATCCTATGTGGGCGCCGGTTCTAATCCCAGTGGCCCCGCTTCCCATCCAGCTCCCTGCTTGTGGCCTTGGGGAGCAGTTAAAGATGGCCCAGACCTTGGGACCCTGCACCCGCGTGGAAGACCCGGAGGAGCTCCTGGCTCCCGGCTTTGGATCGGCGCAGTGCCGGCCATTGTGGTCGCTTGGGGGGTGAGTCATTGGGCGGTGGATCATCCTCTGTGTCTTTCCTTCTCTCTGTGTGTCTGACTTTGTAGTGAAAATAGATAAAATCTTAAAAAATAATAATAATAAAGTTAACTCTGCCTCAGGAGTTGGTGAAAATGCAAATTCCAGAATCCCCCCATTTTATTGAAGGAAAATCTCCAGGGGGGGGGCGGTGGAGAGGGTCCCTGGGATCTGACAGTTTCTCAAGGCCCTGAGGTTGTTGGAGTCCAAGAACCACAGTGCCAGACGCTGCTTGGCACGTGGGTAACTCTGCATGGCGCGCAATGAACCGTTGTTGCCAGTTGACATGCGCGGCCGGAGGCACGAGCAGTGAGCATCGCTGCTCCTGGGCTCCTCTGCTGCAGAGTGGGTCCTCAATCCTTGTTAGACAGGCCCTGGCAGCCACCACTCTGCTGCTGCTCTCCACGTGCCCCGGGCGCCTCACTGAAGTAGAATCCACAATATTGTCATCTTTGTGCCTGGCCCACTTCACTCAGGGTTCCTCACGTTGTATCCTCTATCAAAAGGTCTTCCTTTTTGCAGGCTGAATACTAT